TGATGTTGTTGATTATGTTGATGATGATGGTGATGCTGATGATGCAGCTGCTGATGATGATGATGCTGATGCTGATGATGATGGTGATGCTGCTGCTTCTGGCGATGATGAGGATGATTCTGAAGATGAATATGACGATGCAGATGAAGGAACATATCAACAACAATAAGATGAAGGTATATCAGATCTGGAAGCGAGGAAGGAGCAAGCAGGCGGCCACACCGCTCCGCGGCCGACATGCTCAAAGTTCCGAGGTCCCACGGGCTTCCGTGCCGGGCTTGCATGGACCCGCCGCCCTGGCTGCTGCCGGAGGCCGCCAGGGGGTTCGCCGCGGGCGCGGCGGCGTGGGGCGCGGCCTGGGGTGCGCAGTGCCCCTCGGCGCCGCCCTGCCCAGCCTGCACCTGCCGGGAGGCAACCACGCCCAGGCGGCCACGCTTGGCACTGTGGCGGCTGCCCTCGCCTGGCTCGCCAGCCTGACCGTGGCGGTGGTGGGCACCTGGGCGTGTTCGCGGGGCACGGCCAGGGCGGGAGCCCCGAGCGCGGCTGCTGTCGCCCCGCGCAGCCCGCCTGCGCTGCCGACCGTGGCCGCCCCGTCCTCGCCGTCTGAGGTGGCCGCGGCCCAAGTGGCAGCCCTGCGCGCCTCCAGGGCCCAGCTGACACGCTGAGCATGGCGGTGGCGGGGGCTCACCCGCTTGTGGCGGCCGGGCTGCAGGAGGGGGACTTCACTTTTGTGGAGTACACGGGTGCCCCAGGCGTGCTGCACGAGCGCCGCATCATCCTGATCCCAGATGGTGGGGGCCGCGTGTGCACGCTGACCGCAGACGACGACAGCTACGAGGAGGATCTCTATCCGGCCGCGGAGGTGCAGCACTGGCAGCCGTGCGACGCGGGCCGCGTGGCGGCGTGCCCGGCGGCTGCGGCGGGCGCGCCCGTGCACGGCTTCAAGGGCGTCCCCACACCGATGCGAGTCGCGCAGGTGCTGGCGGCCGCTGCCGGGCGGCTGGGCGTGGGCCTCGCGGCTGGAGCTTCGGTCACTCGTAACCTTGGTGGCGCAGGTGGCGGTGCGCGACCCTGCCCTGGCGCAGCAGCGGGGGCGCCCCCTGGAGCTGCAGCGGCAGCCGCAGGTCCAGCCGCGCCCCTCGCGGCACCGCCGCCCGCTGGGTTGCTGGTGGCCGCGCCGCCCCTGCCGGCCGCCGCGGCGGCCGCCCCTGGGGCGATCGGCGGTGTGGCTGGCCTTGCGGCCGCCCTCGCGTTCCCGCCCGCAGACGGGGCGGCGGCGGCGGCCGTGCCTGCTGCCCCCCCCCGCCCCTGATCGGGGTTGCGGCTGCAGCGGCAGCGGCCCCACCCGCAGCGGGCCCAGGAGCAGCGGCGGCGCCCCAGGATGGACGGATCCAGTCTGCCATCGTCGACATCCAGGGCCAGAGGCACATGGGCTACCGCGCGGCGGCGATGGCCATGACGGAGGGGCGCTTCCTTGATTGACCCGTCAGGGGCCCACGGACAATGCCGTGGTGCTTGAAGTTCATGGAGGCGCACGGCGGCACGCCCGCTGGCCGTCGCTCGCGTTGTCTCTCGGAGACCAGGCTGCAGGGCCACGAGCCTCGCGTCGACGAGCGTGAGAGGGCCTGCAGGACGCTGGAGAGGAAATTGGTTTACGTACAACTGGCTGAACGTTACGAACCTTGCCCCGGGCGAGATGCTGGCGAGGACGGCGCAGCTCCAGGAGGAGCGGTGCCGCGACCGCGTCGCGTCGATGGTGGGCTCCTCCAACATGGAGTCACACGTGCTGCTGGGGACCGATCAGTCGCGCGGGACTGCGCGTGTCTCGCCGCCGCTGCAGGAGCACATCAACGATTCGCTCAGCAAGACGAATGCCTACAGGAAGGAGCAACGCAAAGCCAGAGGGGAGCGCTACTTGTCTTATGTATTTGCGCGTGGGCCAACGTCAAGCATTGGCTCCGAAGATCGGTGACGCCGACCGAAGAGGCCCGAGAAGGGACCGAAAAGGAAGCCAAGGGACACACCCAGGGCCCAAGAGCGGCCGAGCGAAAGACCGACCGAAGAAAGAGGACTGAACCACGATGGGGCCGCAGTCAAAGCGCGCGAGCCAGGCGATGCTGGGGGCCATTGGATTCCCGCAAAAGGGTTCCTAACAGCGATGCTGGGAAGGTCAAGGAGGGGGGGAAGAGGAACAATATTGCTGCCCCCGTCCTGGCGCCTAGCGGCGGCGCGCGCCGCTTCGCCCTTTCCTCCACCCAGCCATATTTATATTTACCTTTGCACCTCCCCATCCCGCGTTTAAGAGCTGGTTTAAGAGGGAAGTGAAATCCTCCCCTGCAGGCCGCAAACGGCCAAGCTGCCCGCGCTTCTCTTTGCGAGCCTGGCCGGCAGCAGCGAGGCAGGCGGCAGCAGCAACAGTCTTCGATCCCCATTCCAAATTACGCTGGCTGAAGGAGCTAATCGAGGTCAAAGAAAGCTTGAAACCTGAAAGCGCCATGAGGTTTTTAGGAAACGCTCATCTAGCATGATCTACGACGATGACGTCGCCGATGAAACTGCAGACCGAGGGCGGCGGCCATCGCAAAGGAGCAGCAACCTCGATGCCGTGCCGGGGGCCTTGGGGGGCCCTTGGCAGCGTCGGGCGAGCATCTCCTTCACCTGCGAAAAATGTTTGTGATGGCCTCCGGCCAGTGCCGCCGGTCTGGGGGCGCCCATGGCGCGACCTGTCTGTTGGAAGAGCAGGCGTCATGGCGCGGGGATTCTGGAAACAAGCTGAAGCGTTGGAGAAGGGAAGACAGTTGGGAGAGGGGGGGGCGGAGGCAAGGGGGGGCCAGGGGGCCGGGGAGGGGGGCGCGAGTGGAGAGGAAGGCGCGCGCCGCTTTCGGAGGGAAGGGGGGGGGGGGAGAAGGGAATCCGGGAGGAGGGGAGAAGAGGAGGATGAGGAAGAGGAGGGGGATGAGGAGGGGGAGGGGGGGGGCAGAGGAGAAGGAGGAGGAGGGGGGGGAAAAAGGAAAAGGAGGAGGAGGAGGGGGAATAAGAATAATAATAAGAAGAAGATCTGGAAGGGGCCCTTCAGGATCTTGGGGCACGGGGTCAGGGGGCGACGGGGGCATGGCTACTCAAGGGGCCGCGTCGGCAGCAGCCTGAGACTGGCGAAGAACAAGAGACTCGCGCTCAACCTGCAACGCCCGAATCTAGTCGTCAACGCTGCTGATCTGGTCAGTAAAACTATCATGCTTCTTACTGGCCCAATGGTAACGCCGTTTGTAGAGAAAAAAAAAAAAAAAAAAAAGCGCTCATGGGACAGACTAAGGAGCTCTCAGCCTTGCGAGTGCGCAGACGGCGCAGTTCTGCCCAGGGGCCTGCGATGCGCTCGAGGACCGCGCGGGTCTGAGGTGGGGTCTTACACCCATCCAACAGAGACAGCAAGGACTGACTGATCCGATCAAGGTCTGCAGTTGGAATATCTTCATCGTGCGCCCTACCTGCTTGCCCTTTCTCCTTCTCCCCAGCCATGTCGTCGTCGTCCTCTTCATAGTCGTCGCGATAGTCGCTCCAGAAGCCCCCGCCGCGACGAAAACCATCGCTGTTCTCGCCGTCATCGCGCGCGCTGTCCTCGCCTGAATCATATCCGAACCGACCCTCCACCCCCTGGCTGAGATGGGCAAGAAGACGTTCATCGAAAGTACGAGAAGGGGCATGCACAGGAGCAGGAGCAGGCGGCGCATACCCCGCCCGCCCCCTCGGCATCAGGGCGCCGTCCGCGTGGCGCGCGGCGCCCATGATTCTTTCTCGCTTCCTGGCCCTGTCCTCGGAGCTCACGCCTGGGGGAAGGGGTCGAACCAAACTTACGGCTCCCACGGGGGCCAGTGGTTGGGGCCCAAGAGACCTTCCTAGCATCGTGGCAAGTCAGACACCAGATAGCTCATGAAAGTCGGAGACAGGGCAACCGCCTCACTCAAGGCGGGCCCTGACCTGCAAGCAGGCCGCGCGCGGGTTGATTGAACCACCTCGAGCCAAAATGGCCACGGAGAGAAGCGCGACTCGGCCCGCAAGAAGAAGGGGGGCAAGGGCGACGCGGTCCCTGGCAAGGATGGCAAGTGACCTCGGAGCGGGGGGTGGGGTTGGGCGCCAATCCCCGCCAATCAGCCCATCGGCCTGCGCTGCTTCTGCTGGCGGGTCGCCTCCAGTCTCTCTGGGCCGCGGCGCTGGGGAGCGGCGGCGGGGCTCGTTTCCTCTCCCCATTCTCGGGGCCCATGATGGGGGGCGCAGTTTTGGGCGCGGCAGTTGCGCGAGGCGCTTTGGCAGGGGCGCACCCGCATCGCGGGACTGGGCCAACGACGCCATCGACGTCATGAACTCTGCGCGTGCCCCAGGGACCCAGCCGTCCGTCCTCGGGTTCTCCGAAGTCCAGCGGGCGTCCCTCGCGCGCGTCCACGCCGCTTTCACCAGCCTGGCCCCGCTGGCTGTTGGCGATGGCTTTCCTGATGGAGCTCTCGCTGATGTCCTCTCGGGGTCCCCAGTGTGCTGCTCGCGGGGCCCTGATCTCGCGGCCCGTCGTCGGCGACGACCCTGTGCCGCTTGCGAAGGTGGTCGCTGGACCGGGCATTCTTAGGTTTCTGGAGCTCGAGCACGTTCTGAGATCGCGGAGAGGCAAATGCTTTTCCGCAGCAAGTACGTCCTCGCAGGCCGCACGTCGACCCGGGTCTTTCCTTTTCCCCAGCGACCTACGCCGACTTCTTCGCGTAGATGCCGAGCCGCAAGGTGATGCGCCTCCAGGCGGAGGACCCCGGCATCAAGCCGATTGGTGCCATCTGCGCGGCAAAGGAGAGCAACCGTCTGAGCCTGATTTCTGACGCGCGCGCCGCCGGCGCCTACTTCTCAGATTCGCCGGCCATGGCGCTGCCCAGCGCTGCTGCCTTCGCCTACCTGGAGGCGACAGGCGGACGGGTGGTCATCGCCGCGGGCGACATTGACAGCGCATTTTTTACCGCCTGAGGATGCCCGACGGCCTCTGCAGCTACTTCAGACTCCCGCCGATCGATCGGAGGCATTTAGAGGCGCGCGGCATGGGGCTCCCCAGTGGCAACAGGCCCGCCTGGTCGCGTTGCCCATGGGCTTCTCGTGGGCGCTCCGCCTGTGTCAGCTGGCGCTGCAGACGGCCGCGGTCCGCGCCGGCGCGCCGGGGCGCCTCGTCATCGAGGGCGGGCTCACCAGGGTAGTCCTGGAGCCCAGCAGCCCGCCAGCTGCGGCAGGCTACATGGACGACTACCTGGCCGAGGGCACCGACGAGGCTCCCGCCGACCAGGCCCTGGACCGCGCCACCGCTGCGCGGGGCGCTGGGCTGCGCGCGCACCCGCCTAAGCGGGCCGCGGAGACTTGCAGCTTCCCGGGCGTGGAGCTGCGGCGCGGGCGCTGGCTGGCCATCGCAGGGCGTTCCGCGCGGCGGCTGGGGCGCGCCCTCGAGGAGCTCCTCTGGCGCGGCCGCGCTTCAGGCCATCTGGCGCGCGCGGTCGTCGGCCACCTGACCTGGGCCTCGATGGTCAGATGCGAGGCGCAGGGGCTGCTCGACGCGGCCTGCGCCTTCATGGTCGCCGCGGGCGTGGGGGCGCAGGCGCTGTGGCCCGCGGTCCGCGCGGAGCCGTGGAGGTCTCGCTGCCTGCTGCCGCTCCTGATCGTGGACCTGGCAGCGCCGTGGGCCTCGCAGCTGGCGGCCAGTGACGCCGGCGAGGAAGGCCTGGGGGCGCGCCGCCGGAAGGCGCCCCTCGGCCTCATTGCCCAGTGCGGGAGGCAGTGCGAGCGGCGGCTGTGCCGAGTCGAGGGTGGAGCGCGCGCGAGACAGAGCATTCCTCTTGCCTACCTCCTCTACCCAACCACCTGAACCGCCTGCCCAGCCACCTTGCCCTATAGCCTTGGTTGCAACATCCTTGCCTGGCCGCAGTCTGTCGGACCGCGGGGAGAGGGCGATTTCTTCGACGGCTTCGCCCCGCGCGCCTGGCCCCCTCGCGAACCTCGGCCAGGCCCCGCCGGAGCCCCTCAAGATCCCTCTGGACGAGCTGGAGGTTGAGAAGGCCCCCATCGTGGACCACAACGAGGACTCGACGGGCCTCCTCAAGAGCCCAGAGGACCCGACCACGGATATCGTTGTGGGTGGCCTTCTGGCCTTGGACATCGGCAAGATGTTCAAGGACTTCGACGAGGTCCCCGCGGGCCTGCTTGATGCTAACTATAAATCTTGGAGGGGCGTCGTGGCTACGAAGGTCCAGGAGGGCCAGAGCATCTTGGGCCTGGAAGCTGACGCTCTGGTAGTTGCCTACAAGCACTTGCTTAGATTGCCGGCACGTCGCGAGAAGTGCGCTCTGGCCCTGGTCGATAACGCGCCGCTTTGTCATGTCTTGCTGCGGCGAAAGGTAGAGCTGCCTCTCCGTATCTACAGCTTCCTCCTCTAAAGATTTGCATGAATTCGTTGGCAGCGGGTGCGAGGCTATATTGCCGATGGGCCCCGTCAGGACGCAACCCTGCCGACGCTCTGACTCGAGCGCGGCGCAATTGGTTTTCGGACTCTGCCGCCCGCGCCCGGCCGCCGCGGACAAGTCCCGCCGGAGTAGAGCCAGCCAGCGCCGACGGTGGCAGGGCGGCGGCCCGGTGCTGCGGCCCAGACGCCAACGCCGCGGCGGCCCGCGCGCCGCCCAGCTCTGGCAGCTGTGGAGGCGCGGGGGCGGCGAGCAGCCCTTGCCGCGCGCCTGCAGGCCACGCGGCCGCCGCCGGGGCAGCTGAGCACCCTCGCGGCGCCCTCCAACACGGAGGCGCAGTATCGCAGGGTTCTGGAGATGTTCGTCTCGTTCTGCATGTCCTGAGCCGCCAGTTCGTGGAGGTAGCTCCCTCGAGCCAAGGTTCGTTGCTGCTGGCTGCACTCGCCCAGGGCCCAGCTGCCGCGCGCCGCAAGGAGCTCGACGGCTTGGGCGAGGACGGTGCCCGCTATGACGAGGGCGCGTCCGCCGTCAGCGGTCGCTGGCGCATGTCGATCTGGGATCTGCTTTCGTTAGCTGCTACTTCGGGCCCATCGAGGCGCATGGGCTTCTTGGCGCGCCGCTGGTTCGCCCGGCGGGGTGGGCGGCCTCCTCCGCGGGGAGTTGGGCTTTCCCTCTTTCACCCCGCCACCGGAGGCCGCCCAGGCAAGACAGGCCAATTCAACGAGAGCGTAGTGATCGATCTGGACCAACACTTGCGGCCGCTGCTTGCAGGCCTCAAAGGCGCTGCGGCCCTCCGCCGGAGCCTCTGGGACTTCGCGCCCCCCGCGCCCAGGGACAAGTTCAGGGACTTCACGAGCCTGGTCGAGCTGCGTGCCCTGAGTCCGTCGCCGCGCGCGCCGGGGCGCGGCGGGGCGAGCTGGGACTTTCTGGAAGGCCGCAGGTCGCTGGAGCAGACCCAGCATCACGGCCGGCGGGCGTCGCCAAGCAGCACGAAGCGCTACGCGAAAGAGGCATACCTTCAGGATGCCATGGCCCGCGTGCCCCGCTGGGCGTTCGTCGCGCGCGCTGACCTGCTCGAGAATGTCGAGCCGCGTCCAGACATGCCGCGCTGCCCGCGCCTCTGGCAGCAGCTGCCCGTGGCCGCGCAGCGCAGGCCACGATCGCTGCCGGGCTGCCGTGGCTTCGCCGGCGCAGGCGCGACGTCGTCTCAGGGCCATCTTCGCTCGACATCTGAAGGCTGCCCGCCATGAGAAATTCGGCACGTTCCTATATTTTTTGCGGGGTCTGGAAAGGTCGCCAAGGCCGTAAGGGCCGCTGGCTTCCCCGCCCTGTCCGTGGACGTCTTGCGCGGGCCCGCGGAGGGCCGCCGTGACAGCGCTTTTGAAAGGCATCTCTCGGGATGGCTCAATCGTGGCCTTGTCCTTGGCGTCTTCTTGGGGGCCCCGCGCGCATCTTGAACTCGGGCCCCGAGGAAGCCCCTCCGAGACCTCGCGGCTCCAATGGGGGTGGCCAATTTGAACGACATCGAGCGTGGACGACGCATGATTGGCAACGCGACGTTCCATTTCTCGCGCAGAATAATGTTCTTACGTCGTGACCTAGGCGCGCCCGTGCTGCTAGAGAACCCTCGGACATCGCCTTCGCGGGTTCGCCACCTCTTCCAGCACGGGGCCCGGTGGCGGAAAGCCACTCGCATCCAAGGCTGGAACATCTCATCTTTACAACTGTTGAGTTGCAAGTGCTCGGGTAGAGGAGGAATTTGCCCACGCACAAAGCCATCGCGCGGTGAACTCTCTGGCGCTGCCACCGACTGCCGCAGATGGACGAGTCTGGCGGCTGAGTGCCCCGCGCGGTTCGCCGCCGCCGCCGCTGCTGTCCTCTCGCATTCTGCTGGGCAGTGCCATGGCTTAAGACTCGCCGAAATGATTTGTGTTTGATTTTTGTTTTAGTGTGCGTTAATGTTTGGAACCCCTGTGAGACTCCAGCCCGCGGCCTGGCTGCTCTGGGAAATGCGTAACGTGTTTATGTTTCGTTTCTGCTCGCCTCGCGAACCACGGAAACTCGGTCCCAGATTATTGTTGTGCTTCTCGGGCGTGCGCGCGTCAAAAAAAGGGTGCATGCATCAATCGCTGACTAGCCGCCGAGGGGGCGAACGCACTCGTCGTTTTGATCTGAGATCTGGAAGCGAGGAAGGAGCAGACAAGCGGCCGCGCCGCTCCGCGGCCGACATGCTCAAGGCTCCGCCCACCTACCCCGCTCTTTTCCCTCCTTCCACTGTACAATTGCTGCGCGTAGGGTGCTGATGTCTCGTTTCTGCTCCCTTCGCGAGCCACGGGACCTCGGTCCCAGATGGTTGTTGTGCCTCTCGAGCGTGCGCACGTCAAAGACATGCATCCGTGCAGCTATCGCAGAATGGCCGCCGAGGGAGCGAATGTATCTGCTATGTGTATATGTATGACCGTAAAAATGTTGTTGACGCCGATGCTGGCGATGCTGCTGAAGTTGATGTTGAGGTGGTTGATGATGATCACGATGCTGATGGTGTTGATGATGATGATGATGATGATGATGATGATGATGATGATGACGACGGTTATGCCGATCATGATGGTGACGAAAAAGAATGAAAAGATGATGAGAAGGAGGAAATTGAGGATCACGTGGAGGCATAGGAGATGGAACGGGAGGGATGAGACGGAGGAGGAGAAGGAGGAGGAGGACGACGACGAGGGTTATGCATTATGCAGAACGGGCAACAACAAGATGAGAAAGATCCGGAGGAGGGGGTGGAGGACAAGCTGAACAAAGAGGCTTTTCCGCCGCTGGCCCAGGCTGGGTGTTCCGCCGCCTGGCCGCGGTGGTTTGCGCGCTGGCGATAGCAAGCTCGCCCGCGGGAGGCGCGGTGTCTCAGCGGTCCGAGGACTGCGCGCGCGCTCCTAAGCCCCATCGTCTTCGCTCGCTCGAGCTTTCAGTATCCGTTGTTTTGATTGTCGTCGCCATCGAAATAGTTGTAGCAGTCGTCGTATAATTATTTCATCTTACGAGTGATCAGGGTAGTAGTAGTAGTAGTAGTAGTAGTAGTAGTAGTAGTAGTAGTAGTAGTAGTAGCTAGTAGTAGTAGTAGTAGTAGAGTAGTAGTAGTAGTAGTAGTGGTAGTAGTAGTAGTAGTAGTAGTAGTAGTAGTAGTAGTAGTAGTAGTAGTAGTAGTAGTAGTAGTAGTAGTAGTAGTAGTAGTAGTAGTAGTAGTAGTAGTAGTAGTAGTAGTAGTAGTAGTAGTAGTAGTAGTAGTAGTAGTAGTAGTAGTAGTAGTAGTAGTAGTAGTAGTAGTAGTCGTAGTAGTAGTAGTAGTAGTAGTAGTAGTAGTAGTAGTAGTAGTAGTAGTAGTAGTAGTAGTAGTAGTAGTAGTAGTAGTAGTAGTAGTAGTAGTAGTAGTAGTAGTAGTAGTAGTAGTAGTAGCAGTAGCAGTAGGAGTCGCAGTAGCAGTAGTAGTAGTAGTAGTAGTAGTAGTCGTAGTAGTAATAGTAGTAGTAGTAGTGGTAGTAGTAGTCGTGGTAGTGGTCGTGGTAGTGGTAGTG